TTTTTAATACGTAAGTCCCTCGTTCGTTGAATACAACGGATCTTGATGCATATCGTTTCTTACCTCCGTCTCACGTATATAATATTTCTATCTGATTTTATTGCTCTATATTTTATCATATATCTTTGTTTATTAGTATGCTTCTTTTGGGTTAATTTATTTATAATATTAAACTATAAAATATGTAGAATGTAGGGCATTAACGCATTTTCTTCTTTCACCATTATAATAGTATAGTGGCAACAGTCCTCAACGCTGTGTTTTGATGTTTTGTTTTTAAACAGAAACTTTCAGTAGATTTTAAAAATTACTGCGACTTTATCGTGGACAGGTAAACTTCTGTCGTTTTACCAAATAAAAATACTGAGTATAGTTTATATTGTCTACATACATTTTTTCCTTGCCATATTATATTATCTCCATATATAGATTAAAAGGTATCTATAATTGGCATATTTTAAATTGTACGACGCAATTACACATTAAATTGAAATAAGTTAAGCAGTCGTCGTCCGTTCGATTTGATTATCCGCTGTCAGAAGCAGGTTAGACATCATCTTATATGTCCATCTCGTCGGATGAATCGGCGTGGCTGAAAACAGAAAATCAAACACAGTGGGGAAATATGCTTCGAATGTCCGGAGAAAAAAAAATCGTAAATCTGTAAATAATTATCATACCTGAAATATATATATGATATAAATAAAATACGTCTAATTTGTAAACTATAACATACTATAGTGCACACCATATCGTTATGTGGATAGTGGTTCAAATCGTCTACGAAATAGTCGTGYCATACATAGGTGGTAGTAAAAGTAGTGTAGTTTTGATGGGGGGAGGGATGAGTCGGTAAAAATAATAGTATCTATAAGTTATAGATTTTTTCAATATTGCTTTACGCCACAATAATTGGTTTAAGGATTTAACATAGAAATAAGATGATATAATTTGAACAAGGAAGAAAAAACATTGGCAATGAAGAACATTTAAAATAAATAAATCTGTAATTTGTAACAATTGCTGTATTGAATGTATTTTTATAGCAGTGAGAATACCTTTCAGTTGGATTTACTCCACTCCTCTTCACTCCACCATACAGGATAAGACACATTGCAGAGACGTGTTTATAGGAATGTTAAATTGTGGTGGATGGAATAGTTAATTAATGGCAAAGAATTGATCACAAAATCAATTGTACAACAATCAAATGTATGTACACAAATATATAACAAAATATATTTTATTTCTTTTGAATGTTGGTTAAAAACCAAAATAACATCACTATAAATGATTTGAAGTACGTCATAAAATGGTACATAAATATAACGGCTTAAAATACCTCGCAGCAGTGAGGTAGCGGTGGTCCTTACACACGACCATCATGTAAATGCATGCATACACGACACGCAAACACACACACACACACACACACATATATATGGTATTTAACATAGCATAAATTGTACCTGTACAGATGCATAAAGATAATAAGGACCATATATTATTATGCTTAATTTATTATAATTATAATAGTATCGGAACCAGTCTGGTCCAAGAGCTCTGCCGTCCGATGTCCGGCCGCAGTGCCGCACATAATATGCGTTAATTCGATTTCACGCATGGGATTACAATGAGTGAATTGGAGCACTGAATACAGTGAGCATACGAAAATGATAATAATATTATTGTTAAGCCAGCAGACAAATGAACGGATGGACGGGCTCTATTAAATTTGATTTTAATCTCCTGTCCACCGCCGTCAGCCAGGTACGATGTGCAAATATCTTACACGTCGCACAAATTATGTAATAATATGCAACTACCCTCCTGAGTTGAAATATTAAATAAAATAAAAATAAAAATGCGAAAATGAGGTAAAGTAAATTAGAAAAAAATGCAACGCTTAGCTCGTTTAGGTGAACATTTCATCGTAAGTCTAAAATATTGCTCAACAAAAACAATATTTTAGGCAAAATTTAAATTTTAAACGTTAAAATCCCAAATAACATTGAAAAATTGGCAATAAATATTGTGGAAGGTCCTGGAATTTTAGTTTAGTCCTAAATATAGTATTTGCATATTATATTTGTAAATTTAAAAAAAAATATGCTATAATGCTATGATAAAATTATTAAATCTTAAAATATATAAATATGATTTTTACTTACGGTGATTTTGATTGTTAATTTAACCTATACCAATACTAAGGATCAATGTAAAAAAAGTACCTAAGATATTAAATCACTAAAAAAAAAAATGTACCGATCATATTTATTTTTATTTCATTACATTTATCAGGTAATTTACACAGGAAAGCACATAGTATCATACTCTTTTATTTTATTACGAAGTATAATGCACCATGGAGTTTTAAGAAAATATAAAAATACGTCTTTCTTAAAATTGTGCTTTAGTAACTATAGCGGCATTTAGATTTCGTGCGTAGTTATTTATACGTATCAGTGGTAGCGCAAATTTATATTATTTACAAAAGAACAAACAATTTTATTTGACCCACCCTCCCATCTACCCATTTATTGATAAAAAGATCCCTTATTTCATTTAGGTATATAAAACAAACTATAAATGTAACTAATTCGGCTAAGAAATTTAAACTTAACATYCGAGTCAATAGGATTTGGTACACCTGTTTCTTATCTAACATCCACACACTACCCATTCGAATTTTTTTTTTAAATTATTCAGAGACTATAAACTCGCAGAATTATTATTCTCGAGCCACCACTGATAACTCTGATAAGCTGCCCGACYCACGCAAACTAGAAGACTGTAAAAWAATATATTGTTTGGAGCATGCACATGATTAATATTATCATAATATTATAATATATTCAACACTCAAGAAAATATATTTTTGTAATTTTGTCGTAATCAAGTACACTCAGATAAGTCTACAGTCCATAACATATCACTGTAAAACGGTGGTAAAAGGTGAAATACATAAAATTTGGTTGAACAAATATGGGTAAAAGGTATACGTGGTATTGTACCTACTATAATCGTTATTAGATGTATAGGTACAATAAGTGGCGGCAAATATTAGTCATTCASTATGATTTACATTGGTTAGGTACAATAATGATAACAATTATATGAAGTACACTAAATATACCGATACGCAATTTACATATTGCATTGAACGCAATAATAATGATATTATTGGTCATTCGTGTGGGTTATAATTAGTCCATAACCTCATGCGATTCTTAACAAAACTAATACAACAATGCATTGCGCGTGGTCTAGCTATTATTATCATAATATTATGCCAAAATATTAATATCGTATACAATATATTGTGTTGAGTACTTGTACAATGCGATAATTTCTTTGTTACTCAAGTTAAAAAAAGTTTGTAGTTGACAGTTTTGGGGGTTCAGTAATTCTTYKAACGGTGCTTATCCACAAGTTATGTATGTGCTTTTCTATGCATGATAGTGTCGAAAATATAACGAGTTATTATTATCATTTATAAGAATTTATATTATAATAATATATATATTATCGATTAGTGATACTTYATAGATCACTTCAACTCCTTAGGAAATTATTATAAATTTGATAGCTGACTGTTYGATACTTGGAATATATAAAAATGTTGGAAAATTATTGTGATTTAAAATATCATAATCTTAAGATATCGTTATGATGATGAAATCTGACGATTTTGTTATGGTTATAAGCAATTTCGTTTCTACCGCAATATGCATTTTAATATAAAGAATAAGCCTACTTTAAAACGAATGAAAAATAGATCAAATGATCACGATATTTAATTATATATTATAATATATAAAACGTATGGTGTGGCACGGTGTCTGATAATGGCCACAAACGTGTTCCAAGTGCCAGCACCGGCCGGTGTCACTATAGTTCCCGGATGGGTTACCACCCCGGCTTCTAWTGGTGAATTCTTGACATACACGCATRCTGGTGTTTCTAAAAAGCAATTCGCACATACAATAGCTAATGGCCAGAGTTTTCAGGTTCAAGGTCAATAATGATACCTATGGTAAAAAAATAGTATGGTGTTTTGTGTTGGAGAAATTACATCGCATTGCACACATCTTAAGTACATAATTATAGGTGTATGATAATAATATTTTAGCATAATTCATGGTGACTCAGTTAAGGTGAAAACTCATTTTATCGAAAAGTATTAATGATTTGGTATATACGGTTTCCACGTCCATTGAAGTCATTAAAAATTAATAATTTTKAAAAAAAACTTATTTTTACTGTTACAATAAATTATAGTTAGCGAATTTTCTACTTCTTCCAATGAAAGCGTACATTTTTAATTAATATTCCAATGCAAGGTTTTTTGAGAATTTCAGCAAATAAAAATCGAATTTTAAACGAGTAAGTAGTTATAAGGATTAAAAATTTAGGCGAGATGTGATCCGAAATTTCGCAAGAGACCTTTGTGGCACTGCACTTTACTCGTTATAAATGATTATAAATAATTAACTACCTACCGACGAGTTTGAAATGGGATTTTTATAAATTGAAATTCTTAGAAAAATAATCTGCTTAGGAATACGAAATTTAAAATTCGTGTTGTCATTAAGAAATGTGAAAAGCTTAACGTACACAATTACGATATAAATAGATGATATTTTTTTGCGATTAATAATTAATACTTTTTTGAGAAAATGAGTGTTAAACTCTAAATGGATTAACAGCTAGTGTAATAGGAATGAAACATATACTTGTTGGTGTTAGTAAGTAGTAAATTGTTTAAAAAGAAACTAGTTTACGTATAATGCACAATGCATATTATATGTACATAGTATTATAGTGACGGTGAATATGTTATATATTAGTGAGGCGATAGAAAAAATTATTGACACAAGACAAGACAAAACAAGAAAATTCAGATAGGTCACCGATATATGATAAATAATATATGTACGTATGCAACTAACTGTGATTACGAACCCTGATACCGACACCCGTGCTACATTTAGACTCACCATTGACCCTCGTTCTTATCGTCGGTCCCCGAATGATCACTCCTTTTCACCGACTTACTGAACCTAAAGATAGAAACGATTATGTATGTGTTTAATAGGTATCATTTATTTGCGCGGTTTACTCATCAGTGACGACTGAAAAAACAAAAACAACTGCAATATAATAGTTGTTGGTATGTGTATTATGACGCGTTATATTTGCAGGAAGATCGTTTCCACGCGGACCGGAAAATATCCACGTTGGGAATTATAATTATTATTTTGTATTGATTGTTCGTTTTTCTTAAGACATTTCCCGATTCACGATAAATAACAGTCACATTGTCTGATATACAATAAAGTGTAAGACACGTGCATAATAATTTTGATGTTATATTATTATAACGAGGGTAAAAATTCACATATTTCAAAAGGTTCGCGAACGGGTAGAACGAATTAATTTTCAAAAAAATTACATTATTGATGAACTCGTAACTACAATAAATTATGCTCAGTCCTTGCACAGGTGCGATATTATCATTTATAATGTATAAATAGAGATTTTTGCATGTTCTACAGTGGTGTGATGTTCTATAACATTATGTTGAAAATTATAAATTGGATGAGTGAAGGTTACAGATGAATTTCGGCAACTGTGCATGATATAGCTCATCAATAGTTAGAATTTAATAGATTGTGCTTAAAATTTCTAGACGTTATCTGTAAACGTTAAAAATCATATTTTATCTGAGCTTTTTCGATAACCGATTTCTATAMAACTAAAATTTTTTGTATAAATCTTGAGTATGAAAGTTTTATCTATAATAGAAAACTGATATTACGTTTTACAATGATGATAAACAATTGAAAATCAATAAATCAAATTTTTCACATTTYGTCTGATATTAAGCGTTCGTTTTGGATGGAAATTGATATTTATTTAAATTATTTATGAAAAAAAAAATAATTTGGAAAAAATCAACTTTTATTTATTTGTGCTGAAAATTTGGTACACACTTAATTAGGTAATTTATTACCTGTTAGTATTATTACACCTATTATTTTTTATTATTATTAGAAAAACTCAATAATAATATATAGGTAGCATATATATATTCACATATTATATATGTGAATCTTTAGTTGTACAAAACTTTAAAAAAAAAATCTCGGACAAAATGATAGTTTTAGAATTTTTCAAGTACGATTAGAAAATTCTGTAACATCAACTAGTAAAACACAACTTTAATCATTTATCAGGCTGTTACAGTGACGAATACTAATAAATAGAAATAGGTACCTATATCATATTTTGACACTACAAGAATTTTGTCATCTTATAATGATGAAAAAATTACACATCCTTGTGCAACGGAGTGCATTAACTCATAACGATAGAGTGATAAATATATACCTAGACGAAATTACAAAACAGTATTCGTAAATCGCGGACGGACGTGTCAACTTTAGGCAAGTAAGTTTATTAGTAAGTCTATGTCTGTTGCTTTCTAGAACTTTCTTCGAAAAAATTGTGAACTAAAGTAAGTATCATAATATTCACATCGATATAACATAACTACATAAGGGATGCATTTGTTGGTTAATCAAATTAAGTTTGATAATTCCTTAATATTGACAATAATTGTAAATAATTAATTATTAATGTTATTGAGAGACTTATTCGTTTCCGCCAAAACAACAATCTTCGTTGACGACAAATTTAAAAAGGGCTCGATTTTGTTTCCACCTAGACAAACATTGGTTGTTTTCCAAAATTTCATACGAGTAATATTATTTGTTTTATGGGAACTTTGTTGTTTTTTACAGTAGTTGTCAAGCAAATTGATAAGTGTTGAATATTTTGTTTTTTAAATAGTGGGATAGTTAATTAAAAAATTTAGTTATTTGTACAGATACTTAAGATTGAACACTTAAATTAAATATTGTTTAAAAATATGTTATTAATATTAGAATTTAATTTGTAGAACTGTTCATTGAAGTTTGGAATGATTCGTAGAAATTATTTGTCGTTCTACATACTGTTACTGAAATTGTATCACACTGTGGGTGGATACAAACTATATTTTCGAAAATATAATTTTCAGAATACCATAAAATTAGAATTATGTTTCAATTAATTGAAACAAAAAATGTGACTTGGCGGAAACGTAAACCAGACCATTTTCTAATTTTAGCGGAAACAATAGTCGAAGGAAACAAAAATTTATTTTTTAGTGGAAACGATCCTTGATTTTGAATAATATTGTTATGGTAGGAAAGGCTTATTTTACGGTTTTATGGTGTGTGTATGATTGTGCTCTTACCAGTTGGCGATGAAAATCCCATAAATTTCTTATGGGAAATCTGTAAAACGGTAATATTAAAGGTGACATTTGCAATATTCGATGTCACAAAAATTACAATTACAAAACTGACATGGGTACAAAAAAGCACAATATACAAAATGGTTTAATTAAAACTGTTTATAAGTCAAAAGCAAGTAAAATATAATAAAATTTAAAGTTATTAAAATAATTTACTTAAGCTGTGAATTTACAGCGAATACATTATTTCTGATTTGTGTAAGACAAATTTACTATGATATCACACGGATCGAAATTTTTATTTTAAACGGTTGGAGATAATATTCAAATAATTGTTTTAGTCTTTATTATTTTGCCATTTATGTATTATTTTATTAGCACACTTATGAYGGGTGCTTATCGATTAGAGAGTTTCACACTCACGGAAGATACTAAATTAGTAAATTCACAGATTTTGCGTTTAAATGTGTACTTACAGCATACATAGCGATAGATCGATTTTCAATTTTTTAATAACAATATAATATTAAAATATCAAGTTAATTTGCTGATTAAAAAAAAAAAACTATCTTCAATAGCGAAAGCAAATACTCGTGTATTTTAATCCACTTATATAATATATTTATTTAAAAGACAATATTTTTAAGACCTCGGAGTTTTTCGGGATTTCAAAAGCATTTATTACAAGGTTTTATATTGCGATGTATAATTCGGTTGTTATCGCACCTATTCGCGGGGAGTGAAATACGAAAAATTACCATAATTTATTATTAATTGGTAGCAGGATGCTGTTGAATTAGGTTCTGTTAGTTGTTGGATTTCGGTGTTTTCCCTTATTTTTTGTTTGTACCCTGGTAACTGTGGCGGTGGTATAGCATATTATAATTTATGATAATAATATGTATAAAAAGGCSATATTTTTGTTTAAGGGCTTCGGTTGTTAATAATTAAAGTATTTCGTGCTGAGCAGAGTTTCCGCTCCGTATAGGTATAAAAGTGATATGAAAACAGAAAGTATTAATATGATATTATAAATGGGTGATAATAATATTATATGTATTATATTATAATATAATATATTATTATTATTATTATTAAACTGCTGCACCAGGTGTTGCACTGTTACCAATTTGAAAACCAACAATAAAAACAGGTATAAAAAGCAGAGCATAATATTTTTATTATTATCATAATAATAATAATTATTATTATTATTTTAAAGCGTATAATATACAAGCGAACCTTGACATATTATATGCATGGGTGCCTACGCCGCCGTGTTTGCCGGCAGAGTTGTTAACATTTTTKAAATGGATATTTTACAAGAATCTGCGTGTAAGGTATTTACATACAACAACTCTAACGATAATACAAACTGAGAACAAACCCGTTTTTAATTGTCTCACCAAATAATTAAAAACGTGTTTCATTTTTATATGTTGTATAGGTAAACAAAAAAATTATAATACATTTTTGATTTAAACAATAATGCATTATTGCAAGGTGGATCGCTATGGTTTTGCAACTAGGACAACGCAATATTGTCATTTCTTGGACCMGTCATGGTGATACGTTCGGTATACATAATTATAATAAAAATATAATAATAAAAAAAAATTATGATAATATACTTCTATAATTTTTGTCGCATTACACTGTCCCGTCGATTTGACACACTTTTTCACCCTGTCGATTTACGCCATGACTTTAAATCTACATTTTTAAATCTTGTCTGTAGGACTCCAGATATTGAAGCAAACTCACTTTCTAAACAGTTTTATGCACCTATATATAAATAATAAATACTACATATGATAGTGTACGAATTGATTTTTATTTTGAAAACGAGTTCAACATTTATTAAGATGATATCAAAGTAGTGCGAATGAGGTTTCACTTTTCTCGATAAAACTTTTAATACTACCTAACCTAACCTAAGGGTGGCTAGAAGGCTTAGGCTCCATACCCTGACATAATTAGGACCCCCCCCCTCCAAATTATATTGTAATACAAATTTTTATATATGCTTCAAACAATCAACATTAAACAATGACTTATAGATTGTTATATAAGTAATCATTTATTTATAATATTAAAATATATCGAATATAAAAATAACGGTACATATAGTAAATAACCGAATTTAAAATTTGATTTAAGTGGACACCCCAAAATATTAGCCTCGAGCCATATAATTCATAATTAGGGTTCTGAGAACTCTTTAGGCCTATACGAACATAMCAGCAATACAATTATACAGCTRAATCCACAACTGGTGAATTTTTTTTTCGGCTTTGTGAGGACCCGAAGAACCATTAATTAAATTCCAAAATGTTCGTTGTTTACGTATACGAATGTTTTATTTTTAATGCAGTCATATAGTAAATAGGAGTGGACCCCCTCCAAGTTGGTTTCCCACGGTGACTTTTTTGATTTTTTCGCTTTCTGTTTTGTTTAGTTTTGATGACAGCGCTGAAACTTCCTTTGTGCACAATATGATTATTTTATAAAACGGTTTTAACTTTTAATGTGATAATAAATCTTTTTTTCACCCTTTTGAAAACAAAAATAGTAATAATAGTTATAATATTATAACTATACTATCTACTCACTGTTGGTATTTTATTACTATGGTTATGATTATAATTATTTTTAATTTTTTGCCACGTCAGAAAGTTTTTCTGTAGCAGCACCGATGGTGTGCAGTAATGATATTATAAAGACAATAGTGAAATAATATTGAGTAATTTTTACACAATA